AAAAAAAAAATCATCATCTTCCACACAGCGCGGCTCTGCGTGGGGAGGAGGCCAGCGTAGAGCTGGGCTGCGGGCAGGGCTGAGCCAGCAGCAGACTCCGGCCCCCCTCCAGCCCCTCTCCAGGGGACCCCAGGGCTCTGCTCAGGCACAAGCCTTTACCCCTGTGGGACAACATGCCAGTTCAGGCTTCTTGGAGGGAGAGGTAGGGGACACACTGCTAGGCACCAGAAGCCAGTCAAAACCTCCTCGGCTAAGTACGCACAGTAAAGCCAAGGCTGAGTCCCTTCAATCTTGGCAGGTTCATCTAAGCTGCAGACTGAACCCATAAGCAAGTGAACAGACCTTCACTTTTGACTGGGGAAATGCAGCCACGTGCCTGCAGTGGGGCAGGCCAGAAGCCAGGGGGCGCTAGAGCATGCTTCCTTGTTCTGTTGCAGCCTGGGCCAAAGCTAGCCCACCTCCCTGCAAGGGGACCGGGTGGGGTGCAAAGCATCCTGGGATGCTGGGGGACTGTGAGCTCACTTGAATCAGAAGGAGATACAGGACAGAAATTTAATAAATGGATTTAACCTAAATCAGCTCAGTCTGATACTATGTCCATCCAGGTTTATCTTAAACCAGTTCTGACATTTTGAAAGCAGTTTATGTGCACTGAACTTTTCTTGCGTTACAAATTTGAACCAGTTTCTGATCACTTACACTGGCTTACATGTTATTTCTGTTCTGTCATGTCTTTGCCCCCTTCTTTTCCCCTGTTTACTCTTCTTCCACTCCTGTCATTGGTAAGTATATCACAAGCAAAGCCATCCCCAGCAGAAGACGTTAGAGAATAAATTAGGTATTGGAGCAGATGTGAGTCATTCATGTTTGTTCGAAAACCAAAGAACAAAACCCCATAAAAACAGGAACCCGTGCGTAAAGTAACATATGGAAGGAATTGGAGATAAGATGTCAGAAAGCTGGTAAGTCCAATGCACATTGTAAACAATCTCTCCTGTGCCTTTTTTTTTTCCACTCCTCCCATTTTTATTATTTCCTCCAGTTGTTTTGTGTCACTTATTAATTTACTGTTGCTATTCTTCTTCCTTTTTCTTCTTTTGATTTATTTCCAAGGCTCACTGACTCTTTTCTTTCTCTAATATAATCTGTGCCTCTTAGGCCCGATGTGCTTACAGAGATGCCCAGATAAAAATTTCATTAGCAACAACAGAAAGAGACATTTCTCCTTTCCTTTTGTTTTAAGGTATATGACTGCTGTATTAATAGGGTTTGTTCTATGACAGAGTGGAGAAACAGGTCCAATGGGTGGACACGTGCAGAACTTCTTGAACAACAGCACAGGCGGGGGAAAAAAAAAAAAAAGCTACTGCATTGAAGCCTGTCTTTGCAGCTGAGCAGGGGCAACCTATAGCTCAGCATATAGATGAGATACAGGGCAAAACCCAGATGCTGCCAGAAGTGGGGAGAAAACCTCTACCAGAGTCAGTGCCAGACCATTGCCTCAGTACTACAGAGATCTGAAAATACCAATCTTTTCCAGAAATTATGAGAGAGTTTATTTGTGAATATTAATGTTCTTACGACATTTATCTCAAGGATAAGGAGCCCAGCATTCTAGCTCAGTTGCAGTTCAGCAATTCATTTTACCTCTCACTTCTCCTTCAGTTTCAGAATTATGCTCCTTTCTCTGTATCCTGTCTTAAAGTGTTGCTTTGCTGCCTCTCCTTTAAATGCACCTATGCTGTAATGCCTACAAAACACCTGACAACCGCTAGGCAGCTGGTGCACATTGACAGTTGCTTATTACATATTTATAAGTTTCTCATTTACCTTGTGCTCTCCCCAGCTGTTGCTCATATGACAGATGACAACTGGTAGATATAAGTAAATTGTAAGTAAGCCTGTCACCTGTCACACACTTTGATGGAGCTTTTCGGGGCAGGGACCGTTTATTTGTGAGAGAAACAAATACAGTCACTAGACATTATAATAATTCACTTTGCTGTGGGCACCTGTTCTGTGTTACCAGCAACACAACATTTCAGCTACAGTTTTTATTGAAGCTGGTAATTGTGTTCCCAGATGATGATCATCAACATTTTCCTAGAAAACTTCATTGATTGCCAAAAATAAGAGAAGCTTTTTTTTCAAAAAAGCAGGAGATGCTTGAGTATTTCATCTCAGTGGTGGATCAAAAATTGTGTCCCTTTCTTTGTTCAAACTTTTATTGAAAGTTATTACAATATACAGGGGAAAAATATAGAAAATAGCAAGGGAAATACACTGCAAATTAAATTACATGTGAGGTAATAAATAAGACATGCCTGACAAAAATGCAATCGGATAATGTTATCTTATTATATTGAGAAACAACTCCCTCTACTGAGAAAAAGAGTTACTGACAGGGGCCCAGCTAGTGTGATAAATAGCCAGTTATTTCTCTGTGATAAATAGCTGTAGACTTGTTCTTCGCTGTTTTATACCTCATGTAGTCCAATACACCCATGAAAGTCAGGTGCATCCCTATCACTAGTGAGACTGCAGAATTCTAATTCGATTGCGTTTTATGCCTACTTTGCACAGAAACCAGTATTTATGTGAGGGGTTGGAAGAGCCCTAGCTATGCATCTGCAAAATTTCTAGGAGCGAGAGAAACCATGCAAGGACCTCCCCTGTGTAGATGGAGGCAAATAGTGCCCAGTAATATATTTAGCAAGTGAGTATGCAAGCCACAGAAAAACAGTGAGGAGAAGGATGAAAAAATAAGTCATTTGTTGCAAAGTTATATTTAGACCCAAGCAGATTAAATATTTCTCAGATGAAATTCTCCCACTATATTGCTGCAGCCCTATTAAAGTGAAATGAGTTTTGTCAGTGGCAACAAGGAAAATTTGGTCCATTGCATCTAATAATGCCCAGCTCTTACATAGTGCTGTTTATCTGTCAATCCCAGAGTGCTTTAAAAGAAGGTCGCTATCTTAAGCCAAATTTCACCAGATGCAAAAACAGACACAGCTGAAGTCACTTGCCAAACATCATCAATAGCATAGTTAGGAATCAACCCTCAGGTTTTCTGAAACCTATTCCAGGGCTCTGTCTAATAGAGCACAGCAACAGGTAAGTCTTTTTTTTAAATATGATGTTACCTGCCTATATCTGGGTATTTTAACCTTAGAGCAGTTTCCAGCAGGTTGAATAATTTGTATTAATAATCCAGAGAAATGCTTGGTGGAAAATTATGGAAAAGGTATATGTGTCCATCTACACAGTCACAGTGACAAAGATAACAGGATGGCCGACAGAGCCAAGAATGTCTTGTGACAAGTAGCAGGTGTCAGATAGAGCACTAGGAGCTAGAACAACATAGAGGAGGCTAAAGATAACCACTAGCATACCAAAATGAGTTTAAAGCAATTTGGGGGGTCAGGAAGCTGCTATTTTTGAGACCGGTCACTCAGTTTTTAGTATTGCTAATCTGGGAATCTTTCTCTGCTAATGAAAAGATGATCAGCATTTCTGAGCAGAAGGGGCCAGTTTAGCTACCTAGGATGGAACTAAAAGAGTTTTAGCATGGGAAGAGAGAGAAAAAAATAAAGAATCAGAAAAATAGGGCACGAAGGAAACTCGAGGTCATCTAGTCCAACCCCCAAACAATTGCTTCCTGCCATTTTTGTGTTTGACCTGACTGTGGCTAAAACATTTTTGACAGAATTTCAGTTAATCTGAATATGCTGATTCATTGTCAGAACATCTCACAGAGATGCATCTGTTTCAAATAAGTCCATTTTGGGGCGGGGGGGCTAGTTTTTTTGGAAGGAGAATGGCTTTGAGGTTCAAGGATTCTTGGTAATTTCTTACCTAGGAAAGAGCGAAACCCTCTCAAAAATCAGTTCTGGACACCATTCCTGTTTGCAAAAAAATAATCAAAATATGAAAAGGCTTTTTTTGGTTGGTTTGCTCTTTTTATTTCCTTCTGAGCTACCCATCCCATTTCAATATGTAATGAAAAATAATTTTGTAACCTCGACAGTTATCACAGAATAACATCATGGTCCTTTCAATGCAGGGAGCTGCTGGAGAGTGCTGGTTGAATACTGCACCCTGTTATAATGTATAGCGAGCTGACCATGATGAAATTGAAGCAGGGCCTTTAGAACAAGGAGCTCTGTTGCCTAAAGAAGACTGGACACAACACTGACTTAATGGGTAAAGCTCGAAAGGCCTCAAGGAGGTACCTTTTTTTATGTCAGCACTGAATTCTGCTGGAAGGGTTTCTCCTTGCTCGTGAAGATCACAGCAACAGTGTGAGGGGGGGGAAAAAATACCTATCCAAAAGTGCCAATTTAGTAATACAGAAAATAAGTCCTTGACCCATGGTGAGAGCATAGCACAACTAGAATGGTCTGAGCTATGGACAGGGAGGGACACCTAGGTAGATATTGCTTCAGTCAAGGCATGCTGGTTGTACTTTAAACCCTACTGAAAGTATCCGTATGGGGGGGTAGGGGGCCAGCACTTCTCAAGCTGTTCTGAAGCAACCTGCTTTAGCATATGCTCAATGTTGGCAGCTTCAAAAGAATTCGGCCATCTTCTGCCAAAGGGGAGGTCACTCAGGTCTTGTGACAGGAAATGGGGGTGGTTACAAAGGACACAGTCCTAAAAAAGGTTCAAAACAAGACCTCCACATTTTGAGAACACTGTACATTCAGCTCCCTCTCTCACTCGAGCATGCTTATGCTCTGTTTGTGCACAATAGCTTTGCTATACGAGTCCCATTATAGTGGGCTGTTCCACAGGTTAAGTAAACTAGTTAGCTCCAAATAGGAGTCCTCGCATACAGCACTTGAAGAAACTGAAAAAAGAATCCTCAGCCTTGGCTAATTCAAAGGGCACATACAGGCTTGAAAGCAATTCCTGGGCTGAAAGGATCCAAGTGGCCCAGGCAATGAGTTTTTTAAGTAAAACCAGTAGTGAAGCATTTTTAACTTGACTGAACAAATGTGCCTAGCCATCAGTGCTGTCCCATCTCCAGAGACTTGTGCAATATGTTTAATATCCTGAGTTACATACAGTAGCTAAACACCAATCCTCGTGACTGAATTCCAAGGCAACATCCTCAGTCCTGAAAGCCATCCAAGGTCAGAACCACACCAGTTTACAACAGCTGAGGATCTGACCAATGCTTGTTTCTCCCTGTTGAAATCTTCTTGATTTAAAACCTTAACAAGCCTTCCCCCTTCTCTGTGATCCACTGAGGCAATTGATCTCAGATGACTCACTTAATTAAAGCCTAGCTGCAACTGGCTGACTGATTCTAGCACTCGTCTTAATTTCCTTTTGGACAACATCTGTTTTATGATGGGGTCTTCTCAATGAGAAAAAATAAAAGTTCAGTGTCCTCATTTTGGATTTGATGATTCTCAAAGTCCCTTTCAACCTTATGATTCTGTCATTTTCATTATGCAGCTGGATTCTGCATTTCTTATTTCTCACTGTACACCACTGTGTAGCAGTGACTGCTTTCCACCACAGAAGTGGTAGCATTTTACTAGTGGGTAGCAGTTTATGAACTTTTGTAATGAAGGGTGCTTCATAATACAGACCCCAAAAATCTTGCTAAAATTGTGTTTTAACAATTGCAAAATCAGGCCTTTAAAAGTGAGGAAATGCCAGAATTAAAATCCCACAGCCACCCTTAATTGGCCCTGTAAACGCAGGCATTACGATACATTCTAACCATAAGTTCATATGCTTTTTCACCCACAGAACCCCACTTTATTCAGTGCACCAGCGGAAGATATGGTGAGTTTGTGTGGTTGCTTCAGGATGAGACAGGAGGCTTAGTAAGGTCTAGAGCAGGGGTTCCCAATGTTTTAATGCTGTGGACCAGCAAACCATGGCCCAGAAGACAGGTAAGGATACCTCCACCCTCCAGGTGGGTCAGTGGGCCAAACCCTGTGCTGCCAGGGGCCCTGTGGAAGGAGCCACGGCCTCCACCTGGCTTTGCGGGGCTGTGGTTTGCCGGTCCGTGGACACTTCTGGTCTGGCAGCTGACCATGTTGCAGACCGGCAGCCGATCCTCTGCGGCCCAGCACCAGGCCACGGCCTGAGAACTGAGAACCCCTGGTCTAGAGCATCCCCAGTGTAACTGGGAAACCAGAGGAATCAGTCTCTGAGCTTTTCTACTGTATGTGACCATGTGGCAATATTTCCAAGTTTGCAGTTTGATCATATTTGGGCAGATTTTCCAGGTGCAGCAGCAGGTATCTTTATGCACCTATATGGCTAGATCTAGGATTTCACAAAGGAGGATGTTCCACCAGGGTGGCTGCAGCCACCCCCTTCCTTCCCTACAGACAAACCATGCCATGTGGCAGCAGCTGCTGGGGCCTTGAGTCTCAGAAGAAGATACAACTTCCCTGTCCCCCACCTTTGGCACTCAGCAGCACTTCCCCTCCCATTCCTTCTCTTCAGCAGGGTTTCCCCAGGCTTGCCTCTGCACATAGGATGGGGGAGACAGAACTACCATTGCCACTGTCCTAGGTCAAGCTGGCATCCTGCATAGCTACCCCTAGCAGCTGGAGCCCCTGTACCTGCAAGGGAAAGCAGAGGCAGGGGATAGGGAGTAGGGATCCATCTATTGTTGCTGCTACAAAGCCCAGCACCCTATGCAGCCCCTCCTGGCAATCCCCAGCTGTAGAGGGGCAGGACCAGCCCTGGGGCTTCCCCTGCCACCAGGTCAGCAGTGATGGTGGGCAGGTCCTCAATTGTTCCCTGCTTGTTACCCCTGAGTGTCCCCTACCAGCCTGCAGCTCCAGCTGTGCCTTGGACTCCAGAAGGGGCCTAGGATTCTGGAGTTGAAGGAAACAAGCCACCAGCACATGAGCTACACCTGTGGAGAGGGGGAAGGGAGGGGCTGATACTGTTGTCAATACTGTGAACTCAGCTCCAGATTTAAATGTTTCCACTGCAAATCATGAAATTTTCAGAGCTGTTGCAAAGTAGTAGGAATTTTTTTTTTTAAATAGCAAAAGGTTTTATTACTCCTTGCATCAGTCTTGAAAATGTTTGAATTCTTGAGCCAAATCATATAATCTCATGAAGAACAAAAGAGAAATTGTCTGGGTGTTCAAGGTATGCTAGGAAGTTAGACACAATTGAAAACAGACGGTTACTCTGTAAAAAGTAAGCAACCTTAAGACAGATGTTGCTGCCAAAAAGAACCACTTTCAAATCTGCTAGGAGATCCCCTAAGAATAAAAGGCAATTTCTATGTGGTTTAGGTGCCTTGGATTCTTTTGGGAAGGTCTGTCATGCATCCCAAATGGGTGCCAGCTGTGGGCATCTGACACAAGAGATTATGGTGAACTCAAATCTTGTGCATCTCAAAACGTTGTTTGTACTACTTCATCCTCCTAGAGAACACCACACATACAAAAGTGCTCACACCAAAGGATGAAGCAATAAGTCGGGGTGATCTTTCCCAAATCATATAAAAATCAGCATATCAAACTCGCCCTACCACCTAAGCTGGAACTGAACTGTGAGGTTCTTCATATGCCAGATGTGGACATGCCAGCAAGGAAAGTGGCAACAAGACTTGGAGTTAACACAGCCATTGCTCACCCCCAGGCATTGACCTGCATCTCCAATGCCCTAGATTCTTGTGGTGGGCCCTGGCCCCTTTTGCCCCATCCCCAAATTGCCAGCCCCTCTGGGAACTCAGTGGGCCTTGTGATATGGCTTCATGGATCATACATCGGACATCCCTGATCTAAAGGTTTGAAAAACCTATCTTCCCCTAGCTAGTTTTGAAAATACCTCCAGCTACACTCAAAAGCCTCTTGGGTCATGAACTGTGGCAGAGAGCGCTGTAATCTCCACTGTACTTCATTGGCAATTCTGCAGACGGTGCAGGGAAAGTGACTTCAGTCAGAAAATCTCGGAGTCAATGTCTAGACATCCTGGTGACTGGCACAGATACATACCAGACAGATAGGCTTCACTTTTTTGCCTTGTAATGCAAGAGATTCTGCCTTTGTTCTTAGGCATCAGTTTGCATTAGTCCCTCCAGAAAGTAATTTCTAGCTCTTCTGTAGAACAATACATACCCTAAGGATGTATCCCCAAGGAGAGATTCAAACAAGTCTTTTAAAGACTTGTTTGTACTTATGAGCTGGGAGTTCTGAAATTATACACTTTCCAGTCTCCTTTCCATTGTTAGGCTAACTAAATGTTACCTTGCCTCACATCTACAGCCTGAATCAGAGATTCTAGTGTGAAGTTTAAAGTATTTTTTTCCACCAGACCTGTCATGTCACTTTAGGACAATTCCATATTAGTGTTATAATCAAAGAAGGAGATGGAGCAATTCCTGAGGGCTTTCTTCACTGCTATTAGGACTGAATTCCAAATAGATTTCTTCCCTAACTATTGAGGATCTTTTTTAATTAAACCACGAGTGTTTTTCTCAGGCAAAGTTTCCTTGATGACGTCTCCAGTTAATTAAAGGTTTAAGATGTGAGAAGATGCTCTGCATAAAAAAAAAAGAGGAGAGCTGCTTTAATAGCGTCTGTTAATTGAAGAATTCATCAGGCTGATTGCACTAACACTACTATGCCAATGGGGACTAGGACACACCCAAAAATTAATTAACTGATTTTCTAAGATTCCTGGAAGTTGAGCACTTACTTTCAGTCCAACTCACATAGTATGAGGGACTTGGGGTAAGATAAGTGTGAGGACTTCCAACACTGAAGACCTCAGTGGAAGACACCAATGGGGATTACATCATCTTGACTGCTATTCACACTCCCTCTCTGCACTGGGGAGAAATCCCAACCTCGATAAGGGACTGGATCTTTCCCATCGTCCATCTCTATAATTTAGTGGTTCTCAATCTTTTTAGTTGCAAGGCACTCCTTGGAAAATATCAGCTCTTAGTTTCTACTTGATTTTTGACTACAGAAAAATAGTAGAGCAATTCTTCTGTTGCAATGAACTCAGAAAGACCACAACAGGTCAGAAGGTTTTTAACACTGGATTGCTATTTGAAATGTCTGGGCACGTACAGGCAAGTGTGTATGTGTGGTATGGGGCACTATAGATCCATCTGCAGCAGCGTGCTGCAAATTGCACACGCCATACACACAGGCATTTGTCACATGGTTAATTTGCAGTGCAGTAGGTTTTTTTAGTATCATAGCACTTAGGGTTGGAAGGGACCTAAACAGATCATCAGGTCCGACCTCCTGCCCCGGGCAGGAACAGATGCCGGGATCATATCACCCCAGCTAAATATCTGTTCAGCCTCCTCTTGAAGACCCCCAAGGTAGGAGAGAATACCACTTCACTTGTACCATTCCAGAGCCTGGCAGCCCTAACTGTAAAGTAATGTCTTTTGATGTCCAGCCTGAACCTTCTCTCTAACAATTTGTGGCCGTTATTCCTAGTAACCCCAGGTGGTGCCTGTCTCTAGTGGGTTATGGAATAGAGAAAATCCCACACAATTTACTGATTCGTTTTGATGCACTGGCTGGGGGAGTATTTAGCTGATTGCACGATTTCACAATGAATACACACTTAATTCATACAACACAATTTTATTTTAAAACTCTTTGCTACGTATATAACACTGCTTAGCTTTAAGAAACACCACAAACATTAAGAACACAATAATTACATATATCAGAAACAATGCTCCAAATGCACTTCCTTCCCAAACAATGCTATAAGAATTAGTATTACAAAAACAACTACAATTACAACTAAAAGTTAAATTTGAATCAATACTGTTATTTTTCATAATATACTTACAATCCTAGAATTCCGAGAAGCCAAATACCAAAATATGGTTTAATTCCTCAGTAGTACGATTTAATGGGTTGGCCTCAGTAGTACGGTTCAATAAGCTGGCCTCAGCAATACGATTCAATGAGCTGGGCTCACCAGTGATAGGACTACGTCCCCTTCCTTCAGTCCCTTTCGGGCGCTCCGCGGCTTCAGCGTGAACTAAGAGATTCGTGTTCACGGAGAGGCTTGATTAGTCACTGCAAGTGACCTTTTCTTACCAATGTGGTCAAAAGGCCCTAGGGTTTGATCTCTCGGAACTCAGGATATTTGCTCTTTTTGTAAAAGACTTCTAAAGATAAAATTCAAATTAAGACTTTAAGCAAAGTCAGGACTTTTCGCACACGTAGTCCAAAAACAATGACTTAGATAAGGAGATAAATCTTATCTTCTTCCTGAAACTGGCTAATGGGCAAACTTTACAAACATTCAAACTATTTCATTCAATATGACATCCCCCCGTGCCCATTAGGCAGTTTGATTACAATTATATTTCATTACTAAGCCTTACAAACTTATTATGATGATTCCATGACAACATACACAAAATTAATTTTCCCAAAATGATTAACCCAAACAATCCTATGATGCTTATTATAACATATATCACCCATTTTCCCGAAAATACAGTCTTTATAGTGTTCCATAGTTGTTGTCCTATCGATCCTATTTCATGTATAGTAGATTTAACACCATTCCCCACTGCATTTCCAATCGTGGCTAGTCCTTCTAACACCGAAGCTGATGGTGCATTGAGGATCTTGCTGGCGTTCAAGGTGCAGTTAGCCTTCCTCGCATTGGCGGCTCATGTTCATCCTAGAGTCAACAGTGACTCCAAGATCCCTTTCTGCCACTGTGTTGACAAGAACACAGCCTATAGGTGTGTTGCTGGTTCCTTCTCCCTAGATGCAGCACCTTGCATTTGTCTGTGTTGAATTCCATCCTATTCTCATCCGCCCACCTCTGCAACCTGTCTAGATCTAGCTGGATTCTGTCCCTCCCCTCCAGCATGCCCACCTCACCTCACAACTTGGTGTCATCAGTAAATTTGGATAGCGTGATTTCCACACCCACATCCAGATCACTGATAAAGATGTTGAACAGTACAGGCCCCAGGACCGAGCCCTGGTGGATTCCACTGCCCACATCCCTCCGGGTCAAAACACACCAGGAGATCCCAGTGTCAAAAAAAAAAATGTGCCTGAAAAAAGTGGGGTGGTATACATGGTAGCAGTGTGCACTGCCCAAAGCCTGGCCTGCCAGAGTCACACTCCAGCTGCTAGCCAGCCTCCTGTACCCTACTCATGGCAACTTGCCACACTCCAGATCACACATGCATAAGTGTTTGCCAGGGACAAGTAGCAGGGGCACAAGTATGTGCTGCTGGTATTTGTCCCCAGAGAAATGTGCACACGCATCTGGACATGCCCTTTGGGTTTATATTGTGAATTACATTTGCATAGTTAATATTGTGTGATAGCTCATGGCACCCCAGAGTGTTATGGTACCTTGGTAAAAAAATCCCTACTGTAATCCAATGCCTGATATTTGTGTAGTGCCTTTCCCTCTCCCACCCCATTTTCATAACATTAGTTACACAGAAGCAGCCTTTAAATTGACATTTTTACCAGTGTCATTATTCAGTCCAGCTCTGAGCTGGTCTGAATGTCACAGTAGTAGACAATAGACATGCCAATAGCCAGTCTACTCTGGCATTGCCACCTTTGCTGGCACAGATGAAGCTACGTAAGTATGAGAGCAATGAAAGGAGATTAAGGGAAAATCATGTATGCAACAGAGGGCTGTTTTAAAGAAATGCAAGAGTTAATCCAGAGCAGAGTGCTCTCTGATTCTGATAATACTGAAGTCAATCATATCTGAGGCTTAAATTAATTGGCTGCATTCCTTTAACTGTCTTGCATATTGCTTGGCTGCATGAGATATCAGTGGAACTAATAACTCCAAGTCCAGATGCCTGACCTCTTTCAACTGGGTGATTTTTCAAAGTAAACAATAGTCAGGTAAAGTAAAACAGCACTTTGGTGCTGTTTCTTGCCAAGGACAGCCAAGCCATTTTCAGTGAGACTGGATGGTATTATATCCCAGCCCAGCTGAACAAAGAAAACCACCAGACCTTGCCTTTCATCATATAATGGCTGACAGGAAAAAAAATTCCTCTCATAGGATGGGAAAGCACAAAAAAGGGGGATGTGTCCAGGTCCACTGGTTTGTAGCCCCTTTTGAAGCTCTGCAGGACTAAATATAAAGGCTTTCGTGGGGCAGCCAAGGACAGCTGAGGGCCAGTGATGCAGGAGGAGATCATGGGGAAAAATACCTAGGTGCAATTTTGCAGAAGTGATTTAACTTTGAGTCAATGCACCAGCCAACAGATCAAAGCCACTTAAGGCAGCCAGGAAATTACCAGCACTCAAGGAGGAAAAAAAATCAAATAGCTTTATGTACCCAATTATAGCTAGTAATCTCCATATAGACTAGACTAGCAGAGTTACCCGCCCATGTCAAAGCTACCAGCTAGGGCCTGATCTTGCAAAGTGCTGTTTGCCTTTCATTCTGGTTGAC